GACTTCTATTTTGATCCTTACAATTGGACGTGACAAGCCTTTGCTACATATAAAGTTGAATTTTCTGAGAACCATTGACGAGACTTTCTTTAAGCAAAAAGCAGGAGTTAACTGGCTACAACTACGAGATCAAAACACTAACTATTTACGGCGTGTATCCAAAGCAAGAACTTCCTAAACTCTATAAGATCCTTTCTGCTTCTTTCACGATCCTTGATCACTAAACATGGGCTATGACCGCCTAGGCCACTGGCTACTTCCAATCTATACTTGCTTCCAACCTTCTACCACCTTTGGTTATGTCTCCAAATTGGATTCAAAGTATCACATAAAATAATTGCTCCTCCTTCCATCAACAAGTAATGTGGTCTCTGTTGGGGCCAGGTTTCACCCCATCAAGATTAATTGTTAAACTAACTATGTATAGAAATGGGCCTAGCCGAAGTTGGGCTCGTTGAATCCGAGCTAGAGAAAGGGAATCAGTGGACACGAGATAGAGGAACGGGCTCGCAAAACCCGATCCACGAAGAACGGGCTCAGCATACCCAAGCTAAGAAGATAGGCCTCGGATAGGCCGAGTTAGATGATGAATTTTGGTATAGTAGCGAGCACTATTGTCAATATGATGGTGAATTTTTAATACAGCGAAAAGAATAAAATAAATAAATAAAAACTCTGAATGGGCCGAGCTCAAAGGCAACAACAAACAAAGCTTTCGATCTCGATTCGGTTTAACAATATACCAACAGGTTCAACTTGGCATAATAACGATCCACGAAGTTCGATTAAGGTGACAAGCCCAACAAACATATGGGCCGAATAACCGAACCTGAAAGTAAAGAGGCTAAAACAACCAAGCTCATTCAAAGTGGCAATGGGCCAAGTAGGAATTTCGAATGAGGCCCATAATTCTGAACCTACCTGGAAGAATTTGAAGAAATTAAAATACGCGAAGGATTGGGGATATTTCGTTATTGACATAGTAGTTATCTCAACCCACTTAAAATTCTATAAATACTCATGTACATTCTCTGAAAGGGGGATCCGTAATTTTACCTAGCTAAACACTTGTATTCTCTCTACAAACAACTTTTGAAATCGCTGAATAAAAATCCATCTTTTGATCTTTGTGTTCTTGGTGGTTCAATCAAAAGTTTTAGTTCCCTTAAAAGTTTCTAACCATATTCAATTGTGCGGGTTTTGACTCCCACAATTTTACGCCATCTGAGGGAAACTTTTGAATTTTCTTACTCAAAGAACCATTGCACATAAGATTCGAAAGATGACTGGCGATGGAGAAGGAAATGCCACCAACTCGAAGGATACTGGTGACAATCCCTCCAGAGCGAAGGATAACCCAGCACCGATGACTACGAAAGCTACATCAGAAACGTTAACACATACATGGTTGAGACTAATGGTTATGCTAATCAATAGTTCATAGGTGATTTTCCAATCAAACAATATCAGGAGGTGAAATTTATCAATGAACAAAATCAGAATCTAGGTAGTGGAGGTTTCAATCAAGATTTTGAGATCTTTCAAAACCAAATCTATGCTCAAGAAGACGTGTATCACGGTTACTATGAAGGACCCCAATTCTATCAAGATCAACATTAAGAAACGCCTACGACATAACAACATGGTAAGTTTAAAGCTACGATGCAACAATGTTTTGAAGCACTAAGGCAAATTGAGAAGTAAACCTATGAGAAGATATATACCATCAACAATGACCTTATCAACAAGAATGAATCCCTCGATGCCAACGCGAAAAAATTAGATGCTGAAGTCTCTGAAACAATGGAAGATGTGAAAAAGCAAGAAGAAGAAGCTAAGACAAAATCATTTTGCCACATTATAGCAAAGAAGAGGAGCTCGTTGCTACCCCTACTTCACCTCCTAAGTATGTTAACTTAGGGAAAAAATCAAAACAATTACCCACGAGGATAAAAGAGAGCCTGCAAGGAAGGGTTTAAGAAAAAGCCAATTGAAAAAGTTGACAAAATCGAAAATTTTGTTGTTCTTTGTTCCATCAACGGGGTTGAGTTAGGGGATTCTTTGTGTGATAAAGGAGCTGACATAAACATCATGTTTAAAGGAATAGCAAAAAATTTGGGGATTAATGAGTTAAAGCCCTGCAAATTGCCAGTGTTATTTCAAGATGTTTCTTCTATAATCTGACATGGTTTCGTCTCAAAATTAGTAGTGCAACTTGGAAACTACGATATTAGAATAAACTTCCAGGTTTTGGAGATGAAAGATGACTCACAAACCTTTGATTCTTTGTTTACCATTCTTTGAATAGAAAATTGTTGGAGGAATTGTGAATTCTATAAATCACCAAATCTCTTTCTCTAAACTCAACAAATAAGTGTTTTATCCAGCCTTACAAGGTAAAGGTTCTTTTTGTATATATGCTAATAACAAGTTTCAAAATGAACCATGTGATACTTGCTATAAAGGAGGTATAAAACGTCATAACTCCAGTCCCTCCTCCCACACCTAAGGTTGTTGTCATATCGACTAACTCTAAGTGCAAACAAATTCCAAGTGTTGGGTATAAATTCATTAGCTTGACCAACTACAAAAGTCAACAGAAAACTAGATCCAATGGACATTAGCTTCAAATCCTACAGGATATAGGAGGTTCGGATATCATCGCTCCAAATCCTTGTAGAATGTGTGATGCCCGAATTCCACGGGATGTATAACGTCTAAGTCCCATAGGATGAACGAGGTCCGAATCCTACGGGATATAAGAACTTCAACTAATGATAAGCATGAATGTTTAGAAGATAGGTTCGGAGCTGACGTGTCAACGTAATCCTAAACAAACTAGGGTTTGGGAGACCTATATAAACGAGAGAACTCTAGAAAGAGAGGGCAAGAAGGCAATACAATGAAAAATCCTAAACAATACACTCTTGTCGTTTCCAACAACAAGCAATGAGACCACGACAGAGCTACGTTAGATCAACGACGACGTCCGAATCACCAAAGATATTCCTCGAGCACCCGTTTAACGCTTTAAATTTATTGTACATTTGAGTTGTGTTGTTTGATAGGATAGAGATTTGCAAATTTAACTATCACGCTATAAATCTCTAAGTGTCAACCACAAGTGCATGGCAATCATCATTGTAGTACTTAGAAGTCATTCTTCCACAAAGAGTTGTATCTTAAGACAATAAGAATGCAAAAAACTAATGAAGCTAGGTTGATTCAAATGATTGGTTTTAGTAACAATCTAACAACCTAAATGAAACGATGCAAATATGTAAAATAAACCAGGGGAGGTTCTGAGGGTGTGCAACCGCACATGGCCCATTTTTTTAGTTAATTTTTATTGTAATTTAGGATCCAAAAATTATTAAAATTATATATATAAAAGGACCCAAAATTTTAGATTTTAACAAATATAGACCATTTTTTAAAAAAAGTTAAAATTTTTGCACAAGACCCAAAAATTTTTTGGCCTTTATTAGCCGCCCCTGAAATAAACGATTAAGAAAGCTGAAAGACTAAAGAGGAACAAACCATAACAATACCAAATGAAAGACAACATAAAAAAATGCAATAAAAGATAATCCAAACAAAAGTCAACAAAAATAAGCAAGTGATTCAAGTATGATAAAAGCATGGACCATGGGTAGAGCTTATAGATCAAGGGCCTAACATATGATTAATGATGTTATAAAAACGCAAAAGGTGTATCTCTAAGGCATGAGACCAATGAACTAGATTAACCCGCTCTCTTGGCGTTAATCACTTTCTTAATTTCTCTAATAAGCTATAACTCTCGCATAGCAAACTCGAGAAAACAAGAAGATTACATCAAACAAGCTCATTTCGCCTACCATTCACTCTAAGCATCAATTGTCGTTAGTTAAATGTGATAAAGCATAATCAAAGTTCATCTAGACATTTTCACGAACATCTCTCGGAGTTGAAAAGACCAAGTTCTAGATTTTGGTTAATTACTCCTAAATCTAGCGTTAAGCAACTTTGAATCAATAGAAATCTAATGATTAAAACCTAAGCACCATTAATCATCCATCAACACTCCTAATCTACTATACCCATAATCCACAAGAGTCATC